TTGGAATGAAAAAGGTGCCAGTACTCTAAAATCAGCAACTTTTTCAAGTCAATTTTATATATACAGCCCACAAACAAGAATTTGGCTACTATAATGCTGGTGGGTTTGTCTCTTTACTACTGTATATTTTAGAAAGGTTCACTGTACTTAACATTTTTTATGATAGGCAGCGGATATGGCTAAAGCTCAGTAAGGTCAATATTAACTGAAAATATAGCAATCAAAGTCTAGATCTTCTGCTGAAGACACATGAAGCAGAGACCTTTCAGGTGAGAGCCCCTCTGGTGGTGTTCAACATTAATGACAAGGAAACAAAGCTCTGGTCAGAAGCATTTTTTATAAAAAGCTTTAACAAAATTAAGTATTTCTGTACATTTTGAATGCAATCTAACTTTCCAACTCAGAAAACGAAAAACGAAAAAGTGCCAAAAGTCTTCTCACATGGCTGAGCTGCTTTGCAATATACTTCACCACTGAAGAATACAAATATGTATAAAGTAAACTATGATGCAATCTAACTTTCCAACTCAGAAAAATGATAAAGAGCATGAACAAAGAACATGTAAAAACAAATGCAAAATTTGCACAATCTAAAATGAGAAACTGTAACTGCAAGTAACAAAGTCTGAGCCATGGTAAAGAGTTACATTGAACACCAAGCTGATCAGATAACTCCCTGGTTGGTCTGAAGTCCTTCTATCTCCAGGATCTGTACAAATCGGCACATTATGCCAAAAGTCTTCTCACTGGGTGAGCTGCTTTGCAATATACTTCACATTGTTAGAAAAGGCTCCAGAAGGCCTTGTGGACATCAGTATCAGGGGCTGGAGCTAGACAGGCTCTTTCATCAGCACTTCTCCTTCCCTTTGCCAGCCAGGACCTCACATACTGTTCCGGATTGAACTGTCCTAGTGATGGTCCATTACATTTAATGAAAACCAGGCTGGACAGTCGGCTGACAGAGAGAGCATTCCTTTTTGCAGTAAGGATATCGTTCATGCAGCTGAATGCCCGCTCACACTCACTAGTGGAGACAGCGATGGTTCGGACTGCTTTCAGTAGAGGCTCCATGGCAGCAGGTGTACGGGATGCCCTGGTTTCCTTGTATTCGCGAAAGCCCTGAACAGTCTCTCTTCTGTCCACTTTCAGCACTTCGCACAAACGTAGCACCTCTACGTCCCCATACTGTACGTCTAACTCCTCTTCAGGCCAACTTCCAGGATGGATAACTTTCATGTCCTGGATTAGCTGATTGTCCCGGGCCTCCCGGCCATGTAATGGGATTTCTCTTGTGCTGACATGAGAGGAGGTTGTGGAAGTCATTCTGTGTCTCAGATTCTCTACCATACTGCGGAAAAACTGACCTGCATGAATCTGTACAAGCCTGCCATTCTCACGCAGGGCAACACCCTTGAAGGACTTCTCAGCTAGAGCTGTATGAACTGTAGTCATGTGTGGGCCAGGCATGGTGACCATGGATTCAAAAACTCGTATTTCTCGAGTTAAGAGCCTATCTGCTGTAGGCAGTGTCATCTCTCTTTTTTGGAGTTGCCGAGAGAGGTCGCTGAGCTCTGTGAGCGCATCGTACATCAGTCCCAGATTGCTGACAAACGTTGCAGATGTGAGCACATCATAATAATAATTCCTTACATTTATTATAGCGCTTTATCAATGACTCAAAGCGCTTTACATATACACACATTACACATATATGATACATGCAATGGTCAGATACTGTGGACAATACCCACAGGAGCAAGTTCAGGTGAAGTGTCTTGCCCAAGGACACACCGGCTTTACAGACGCAGCAGCGGCGGGTTTCACCCCTTGATCTGATGATCATTGCACAGCGCACTGCGCCACACCGTCCATCTTCACGCCTCGAAGACATCGAGGCGCTTTTACAGGTACACATTGGTATTATACATGTACTGTGGACAATACCCACAGGAGCAAATCCGGGTGAAGTGTCTTGCCCAAGGACACAACGGCCTGACGCAGTGGCGGCAGGAGCGGGTTTCGAACTGGAGTTCCCCAGCACTCCCCCTTGATCTGATGATCGGATGCACAGACCACTGCGCCACCCGTCCCATCATCCAGGCCCTTGTACTTTGCTCTGTCTCTGGAATCCCTGCTCGTGTCGTTTGCAGCATTTGTGAAGTGATCATGAAGCACTCGGTAGTTTTCCCAGACTGCTCTGACGCTCCTTTCACTTGAAGCCACCCAGCGGATGGACAAAACACGCCCTATCACCAGGAGACGCTGTCCGACTGCTTGCGCACACTGCGCTAACTGCCTCTGATTTTTGGGGGAGGCATGGAACAAGGAATAGAGTTTGTCAAAAAAGATCTGGAAATGATTGAGCCCTGAGACCTCCTTGACCACATCCCCAACTGCCAGCTCTAGACGATGATTGGAGCAGTGCCACACAAACAGGCTTGGGAATTTACTACACAACTGGGTAGCAACGCCTGTTCTCTTCCCTAGCATGACTGAAGCCCCATCACATGCAAAAGAAACGAAACACTGACCTAAAAAGTCCTCGTTAAAATCTCTTCCAAGACACTCCATTAACGCCTTTGTGATGTCATCAGCCGTTGTTCCATCCAACTCGATCAGCTCCCAAAAAAACGTTTCGGGCTCAGCATCAGCTAATGCTGAGCGTAGACACACAACAAGCACCGTTTTACCACTAATAGTGGTAGATTCATCGACCAAAACACAGAGTTTTCTTTGGTTTTCTGTAATGTCTTTTGCCATTTTTTTCTTCAGCTCATGAGCTATGTGGTCGATGATTTCGCCACAGGTTTTATTGGAGTGCAAAACCCTGCCCACGTTCAGCCCATTCAGTTTCTGTACATTCAAATCAATTGGCATGTCTGTGAATGGCCGGCTATGTTTGCCAATTTTATATGCCGTTCGAAAAACTCTGATAGTGGTGTCTAATTCAGATTTATGCATAGACTGCACTTGATGTTGAATAGTTTCACGTGAAGCAGATGTAAGGATGTCAGCAGCTTTTACATGGGCTTGTGATTCTTTATGTTCTTTGATTTTTTTTCCTCAGGCTAGCTTGTTGTTTGCCCTTGTCAACACCGAAATGAGACACTGCACACTGACCCCATTCAGTTGACAGTTTCAGTCCTTGTCCAGTGTGTATTCCCAAAGATTTGACATCTCTGCATATCCGACATCCTAGCTTCTTATCTTTAAGAAGGAGCCATGCATTGGTCTTGCAAAAATATTGCACCTGGTCCGTTGTCCAGCAGTCAGGTGCATCGCTTTGCCCGGTGTTGGTGGTGGCAGTTGCGCCAGCAGCAGCTAATGTTAGAGGCTCTGGAGGAGGCGGCGGAGCTAGTGCTAATGCTAATGCACTAGAACTTGGAGCAGGAGGATCAACCAAAGAAAGCTCCCCATCAGACACAATTTCCAACACAGGCACAGCATTCTCTGTATTTGAAGTTTCTTCCGGCGACAACCGCTGTCTTTTTGCACTTTTATTAATCCACGCTAACATTTTAGAAATGCTAATTTGTGACGTGACTTGCTTTCCTTCTCTCGGGGGCGTGCCTGCTCTGTTCTATCACTCTACATAGCCACCCACTGGGTGGGAGTTGCACTGCATAAACACAACACACGTGCATCTAGGTATGTAAATTGTAAAGCATTAAACATGGTTTTACTAACAGTTTTCAGTATGTTGTTACTTCGGCATTATTATTATTATTATTTTGAAACGTGTATTACTATTAAATCACGGTCAAATAGGTTAATTTTGACATAGTCGTTTCCACCACAGTATTTACATGGAGAAGATAAGCCCCGCCCCCTCTCCAGCACGTTCTGTTTGAATGACAGGAGTAAACAGCTGACAGCCGCTGTGAAACTCCAGCGGTTAGAGCGATGAGAATGTCCGTTCGGCACCTCATGACTCATCTACTGAGTACCGGGCGGCTGTATATATATATATATATGGATGTATAATAAGAACGGCGGGAGAGTGTTGAGTACTGGCACGGTGCATGAGTACCGGAGTACCGCCAGCATGCCGGTACTGAGCAAGAAGTGCCGGTACTCCATGGGTCAGAACCAGAAGTGCCGGTACTGCGTACCGGTGAGTACCGGCCCAATTCCAGCACTGCACTAGTGTGTTGGAGGAGGGGCTCTGTGAGGAAGTGGCAGATTTTCTCCGGTTGTGTATTTTCAAATTCTAGCGATCTCGAGCCGGTTTCTCAAACTTACCTACCCCACCTTTAATACGCCAAAAATAGAAAACACAATGATTGTTCACGAGTCCCAAAACACGAGTCCAAGTCGAGTCCGAAGTCTTTTGAGCAGGAGTCCAAGTCAAGTCTGAAGTCTCTGTGTGTGCGACTTAAGTGCGACTCGAGTCCGAGTCACAGACTCGAGTCCCCATCTCTGCTAGGCAGCCTACTAACATGCGCTCGGCTAACATGGCTTACCTTCGTCTTTGCCTGGTCTAAACTGGTCTTCAATGGATAAACGATGATGTAGTTAATCCATAGGTTAATATCCAATGTGACTGTGTCCCCTTTGAAATGTTCTGATAATCTATAAGCAATAAAACTGCAATTCCGTTATCTGCTGTCCGCTCTGTGCTCCGTGCGCTCTGGGTCCTGCAATTCCTGCTTCCTTCCGTAGTAAACAATAAGTAAAGTCTGCTGCGTAATGTGCTTACGCTGGCTGGCATTGGCAGTGCACTGCATCCCCATTAAGTAATGGTTGATTAATAAATCCCATTTTATGTTTCATCATACTCTCAGAGTAGTCGTCCGGAAACTTGAAAAATTCGCTGCACACATGCGCCTGTGGATCTTTCTAACCCTAATCCTCCACACCAGCGCATAGTTCACGTCACTTCCGGTAAAATAAATCATGTGACTCGTCAAAATGGCGCCGCCCGCAGGGTTGATGTTATTTCGGTAATTAATCAGCTTAAAATCACTGAAAAAAAAAAAGACTGGCAGAGACTGGTCTGTTTTATCGGATGATAATTATTTAAAAATGCGTGTCATGAGGATTGCCTCCCTTTAATGTTATTCACTTCTAAAGCTACCTGTGGCTTTCCTGAGCGTTTCGTTACATTACACTTGAGACTTTCACACAGTCAGACACACAAGCTTCATCATGGCTGGACGCCTGCTGTTTGTCATCCTCATGTGTAAGTTAAACCTCTTATTGATGTATTCATTATTAATGTAGGCTATTACAAACTTAAGCACACAAGCAAATCATGTTTTTTAATATTGCTAACCCACACGTCACTTCTTTAAAACTGTTTAGAGAGATTTGGTAGCGGCTTATGAGCAAACAGTTCGTACAGTTTGAAAGCTTCTAAAAGGGATTCATATTTAATCTTTTTATGTTATATTTAATATGTGTTCTTGTTGCCTATACTTTTACCTGTGCTGATTGTGGCTCCTACTGGGGAGGAGAAACACTGGCTCAAATGTTACGTTTTTTGTTGTTGTTGTTGAAGTCATTAATTTGTTAACTTTACATCTAGTTACCTTGCTCACTTGCTAATTCTTTTTTCAACAGATTGCTTTCACATGTATCAAGCACAAGGTCAGTCTCTGATCCATTGTCTTTAATATCCAGGTGTTTTATGGTTGGATAATGATTTGACTTATCTTACAAACTATTTGATTGTAAAGTATATATTTTTCTTCAACATCTATATTATGTAAATACTTCCCCCCCATTAAGAATACTTTTATATCAATTTAATTATTCAGTATTTAAAAGCATTTGGTTTCATTGTCTTATTGCAGCTTTTGAGTGATATCATTTGCTGCACGATTTCCAGATCTTCCTCCACCGACACTGACAGTGAATCCTCCGGTGATCACAGAGTCAGACTCAGTCACTCTGCACTGTCAGACTCCACCCTCTGTTTCTGTGTCTCAGTGTTATTTCTACACTTTAAGTGGAGGAACTAGAGGCTTCTCTTGTCTGAAGACTCTGACAGGAACTGAGCTGCTGCAGATGTCACAGCAGAGTTCACCTGTTGATGTTCAAGTGAAATGTTTTTACATTGTAATGTTTAAAGGGTCAAATTCTCTATCTCCACACAGTGACCTGTCCTCCATCACCATAGACAGTGAGTGACTTTTATTCCCATCCACAGCTATACAAATATTTATTTTAGAGAAAAAGTGTGACAAATATAAATCTCCTGAGAGTGATGTATCCTCCATCATCATTCAAAGGGAGTCAACACTATTAATACTCACTATGAGCACAATAGTTCTTCAGGTTTTCATTAGGCATTCTCTGCCATTATATATAAATGACCAACAGCAATGGTTTGAACAAATTACATATTCAGCTTTTGAACTGAACATATCCTTATATTTCCAGATCCTCTTCCACCGACACTGACAGTGAATCCTCCGGTGATCACAGAGACAGACTCCGTCACTCTGCACTGTCAGACTCCGCCCTCTGTTTCTATGTTACACTGTTATTTCTACACTTTAACTGGACTCATTGTCAGAGGCTTCTCTTGTCTGAAGACTCTGACAGGAACTGAGCTGCTGCTGATGTCACAGCAGAGATCACCTGCTGAGGTTCAAGTGAAATGTTTTTACACGGTAACGTTTGGAGGGTCAACTTCTCCACACAGTGACCTGTCCTCCATCACCGTACACAGTGAGTGACTTTTATTCCCATCCACAACTATACATTTATTTATTTTAGAGAAAAAGCATGACTTGTATAAATCTCCTGAAAGTGATGTATCACCCATCATCATTCAAAGTGAATCAACACTATTGCTACTCACTACAGTATGAGCACAACACTTGTTTAGGTTTTCAATAGGCATTCTCTACCATTATATATAAATGATCAACAGCAATGGTTTAAACAAATTACATATTCAGCTTTTTAACTGAACTCATCCTTATATTTCCAGCTCTCCGTCCCCCGACACTGACAGTGAATCCTCCGGTGATCACAGAGACAGACTCCGTCACTCTGCACTGTCAGACTCCGCCCTCTGTTTCTATGTTACACTGTTATTTCTACACTTTAACTGGACTCATTGTCAGAGGCTTCTCTTGTCTGAAGACTCTGACAGGAACTGAACTGCTGAAGATGTCTCAGCAGAGATCACCTGTTGAGGTTCAAGTGAAATGTTTGTACACTGTAAAACATGGAGGGTCAACTTCTCCATCTCCACACAGTGACCCGTCCTCCATCAACATATACAGTGAGTGACTTTTACTCCCATCCAGAGCAATACATATATTTATTTTAGACAAAAGTTCTTTAATTGCAGGTGTGAATATTTTGTAAGGAAATTCAAATCCAAGCGAAGAAACGGCCCGTCTACACTACAGGCGTCAAAAAATGCTTTCAACGCTTCGCCCATTCATTTGAATGGGGTGACGTAGGATATTTTCAAACTTCGCCGAACTGCATTGTGGGTAGCATGGCAAGGCGTTGCAAGCATCGCGAGCGTCTATCGGCGTAAAAAGTTGAACAATATTCAACTTTTGAGGCTCGATGCTTGCTCGAAGCTGGCGTCAGCCAATCAAATCCCGTTTTTGCAATTCCCGCCATTACAAGCGCTAGCCCAGGGGTGGCCAACCAGTCAGAGGTTAAGAGCCACATTTTTTCTATGTTACTGCAAAGAGCCACATCAAACACACAGTCACTGATACCGCTTGTTTCAGTTTTTTGTTTTCTGGAGACAAGATTTCAACCACGTCACTGATGCATTTTTGTGGCATTGGGATATATATTTTTTAAATCCTCTGGAGCAGAGAGAGGAGCTGTGGATTATTGTTATTGATTATTGCATCAGTGTTTCTTAGGGTCAAAAACACTAAACTCACAACTTCAAATGAAAGCGTTTAGTTTATTTAATAAAAGAGCACATGTTCAATGTGAAAAGTGACAGTAGTTATAGATTATTTGGTACTATATATATATTTAAAAAAAAAAAAATTATATATATTTTTTAAACAGGGGGGGGGGGCGCGGGACTCCGTTGGCGGGGCGCAGCGCCCCTCCAACACAATGGTAGGGGTAACACTGGATAGTGTTTAATCAACTATAGGTTTCCCCCCCCCCTCAAAGGTGATTGGTTCACTGCATCGCAGGTATTATTGTGATTGGCTCTTGGGCCACATCAAAATTAGACGCGCTGTCATCCTCTCATACTGACGCCTGACACCACACATACACACGTAGGGAGAGCCGGGACGAAAGTAACGGAGCGATTTTATCCGAGCCCAAACAACTTTGACCGGCCAAATTACGTCAGAATTATCAGCATTCAATACTTAACCGACCTACTAAATATCAGGTTTAACTGTCAGGAGTAGCTGGTGTTGTCACGGTACCAACATTTTGGTTTCGATACCAAGTCAAGAATTGCGATTCCGATTATTTTTCAATACTTTTCTTAAAAAAAGGGAAACAGTCTTAAATGTAATTATTGTGCTTTATTTCACACCAGAACCATAACACAAACTTTTAAACAATGAGAACAATAAATAAAATAAATGACAATAATTCGTATTAAATAAAATTAATAAATGTCTTACAGACAGGCCTCGTGGTGTCCGTAGGCTTGCCCTCACTGTCAGAGATATAGCTAAAATACTTCCAAATTTAGCTTCTGGCGTCTTTTTTGTCAACAAGCCGAGGCTCAGCGGCAGTTGCACTCCCACTTGCAGCCATGCTTCTCGTTTTCTCACATGCTCTGGCAGCTAGCGCGTGCACGAGAGAGGGGAGGCACTTAGAGCGTGCTTGAGAGGGGAGGGACTTAGAGCGTGCTTGAGAGGGAGGGACTGCAGGCACGGCTGCAGTGCAGGGAGTGGAAGCAGAGCGCTGAACACACACGGCTCTTATTAAAACGGCGCTTTCTCACCGGAGTACTTTTCCCCGTCATTCTTAAAGTACCGATACTAATGAAACGGAGGAATCGTAACGTTTTTAACGGCAGGGTATCGCTGTACCTTTCAAGTATCGGTACACCGTGGTACACCGTGCAACACTAGTCGTGCAACACTCTCTCCCCCAAACTCACACATATACAATTCGATATGAACTGAAGAGCCGCATGAAACTAGGCAAAGAGCCGCATGCGGCTCGAGAGCCGCAGGTTGGCCACCCCTGCCAATCAAACCGCGTGCAAGCTGGGAGAGCCAGACCGCAGTTCATTTCCTCATATTCCAAACGAGAAATTACGGTAGCAAATCACCCGGTTCTTTACGACCAGAACTATTTACCGGGATACAAACCGGAGGAACCAGGCATGGAGGGAGGTGGCAGAGACAGTGGGTGAAACTGGTAGGTTTTCGCCTGTTTGGGGATTTTATATCCAGTTTACTTCGTTTTAACATTGCTATTGCTTTGTATGTCGGGGGCGGGAGATTCATGTGATTGGTTGTTGGTCGCGTTGCTCGCAAAAAATCGCCAAGCTTCAGACACGCCCAGCTTCAAGATTTTTTTTATGCCTGTAGTGTAGACGGGCCGAAAGAAATACTGATTTGACAACCCCTATTTCCTCTAAAGTGCCCTGGGCGATCAGCATACATGTGATACGTTTAAAAAATACATTTCTAATCAAAGTATTTGTTTACTGAATGGTTAAACACATAACGGAGCGTCCACACAGCAGCGTGCGTTGACTCTTGGAGGTGGGCGTATCTGAAGCTTGGGGGTTTTTTGCGACCAACAACCAATCACATGAATCTCCCGCCCCCGACATACAAAGCAATAGCAATGTTAAAACGAAGTAAACTGGATATAAAATCCCCAAACAGGCGAAAACCTACCAGTTTCATCCACTGTCTCTGCCACCTCCCTCCATGCCTCGCTCCTCCGGTTTGTATCCCGGTAGATGAACAGAGACTGATCATACAGCACCGGGTGATTCACTACCGCTATAATGAATTTTCCCTCCATTTTTTGGAATATGAGGAAATGACCTGCGTAGTCTCTCCCAGCATACACGCAGTTTGATTGGCTAGCGCTTGTACTGGCAGATTTGCATAAACGGGATTTCATTGGCTGACGCCTCCGTCGAGGCGTCAAAAGTTGAACATTGCTCAACTTTTGAAGCCAGCAACGCCAGCAACGCGCCACGTCGCTTCCCATAATGCAGTTCGGCTAAAAGTGACGTCACCCCATTCAAAGTGAATGGGCAGAAGCGTTGGAAGCTTCAACGCACGCCGCTGTGTGGACGGGCCGTAAGCTTATGGTGGATTGGTGTCAACAATAGACATATATATTAGACACACAAATAATACTGAACATTTATTTATTTGTGAACGCTGAAAATGTTTCTCTTTTTGTAGATACTGTAGAAAAGGAGTCAAGCACCACCCAGTCGATTGCACCATCAAAGGATTCCACAGGTAGGACATTTTATTTATTATAGAGACACGCAATTGAACCATGGCACTTTTACATGTCCCCTTTGTGGGACGAATAAAGGTATTCTGATTCTGTGCCAAAAAATACATTTGAAAAATTCAACAGAAATGTCTCTTTTTAAAAATCATGCCTGGGGTTTCCCAAAAGTATTTACCGATCTCTTGTCAACAGTTTCATGTAGGAAGCTTTTTGTTTCGGCCGAGAATACCTGCCACGCGAAATGTATATATATTTTTATTTTGGGGGGAACTGTCCGTTTAGGTCTGCAGTCAAGAACATTATAAAATAGCACTTAATTATCAATTTGTTTGAAATGTTGTTGTGCTCTTTGTGTTTTCATTTGCAAGGTCTGACTGTTATTAGTCCCTATCCTTTCCCCCCTGTAACACCTGCAAAACAGACATCAGGTAACACATTTCCACATTTATTTTCAGAAATAAGTTATTTACCATATAGGTGTTTGAGTGTATCGAGTTTTTTGAAATATACTTTTGTTGTTTCACAAGGTTGGACTGTCGTAATGTCAAAGAACACTGGTAGTTCCTCCTCTTCCTCCCCAACACCAGTGAAAGCAGCATCAGGTGAAATCATTATCCCATTATTCATAGTGACTCATTAAAGATTTTAATATGTCTTATGTCTTGCTCATACTAAGAAGATGTTTGCTGATAGGTCACTCTCTGGTCAGTCTGTGAAGGACATCCAGTTGTTTGAATACAGATCGTGGCAAAGGAAAAACAGGAACGGATACTTAATATTTCATATGCAAACCTGCCGTACTGTGGATGATAAAAGAATATGTGTGGGCCGTCTGCACTCATAATATTCTTTTGATAGTATGCCAGCTCCTTAAGAGGACTCCTTGCACATATTCCAAAAATGTAAATTAAAAAATATATGTTACTATGTACTCTAGTTACATACTAATAATAATTCTTAAATTGTTTTAAACTTTAATTCAGGTTTACAATATGATTTAGATTTATTTTGTATCAGTAACAAAGCTATACTCAGCTTTACTTTTTACATGATGGCGTGATCTGGAAGTGTTGGATGAATCATTGTATTTATGCACCGTACATGATAATGTTGGGAGGAGCAGATGTTGGACTGACGCTTATATTTCTGTCGTTTCAAAGCAGAAATATGGAAGTTTGTAGCAGTTGTGGCTGGATGTGGAGTTGCTGTGGGCGTCATCCTGCTGGTTTCTGCACTTCTCTGTAACAACAAAATAACTGGTATGAATGTGTCAATGTGTTTTTTTCATAAGGTCAGAATCTGCTTTGAGAGACTTGAACAACTACTCAAGACATAAACCGTTTGGCTTGGGTCTTAAATGTCATTTGCAGTTTCAAACAAATATTTAAAGCAGCTTCACATTTGTTCAGTTGAACGTTTGACGTAGCTCACATCTACTAAAATATATATTGTGGCGAGCAAGACCTAGATCTGAAACGTAAAATAAACCACTCGTGTGGGAGACCACCACTGCACTGAGACAAAATGAACTCTGTGCTCAGGCCTCACACTGTTTTCACATACGAGCAAAGTATTGTTTGAGAACTGATGGTATAGAAATCTCCTCTCAACAGAAACATAACCCTGGAAGTGTACTCCATCACATTGTGTATGTTTTATAATCAGTAAAGAGAGATGTATGATTTGATATACAGAACTTGAATTAAAACATTGTGTGTTTTCTCACTAGCTGGTCCCGATGAGGTGAAAAGGCAGGATACCAAAGTTGAATATGTAAGCATGGCATGAGAGACACAAATAAATACAATTGGAACATAAATAGTGTGGTTTATATAACTATATTTATAGAACTACAAATTGTATATGTATATTTGTTTTCTTTCTTTCCCCAGTCTGACACATACCATATGTACTGCCCTGAGGAGCCAGCTGCTTCAGACCTGATGATGGGTCAAATGTACAGCAAGGTGCAGTCACACTGAAGCCGTTCGTACTGAACAGAGTGCAAGAGGAACAAGTCTAAAAAACTATGTGTTTGAAGTAAACTTTTATAATCCAAACTAATGTTAGACGACTGAAATGTATTTCTCTCATCAACCAAACTGAGATTAAAAAAAATGTAGCCAAACTTTTACCTAAAGCAAAAGTTGAGTCTTTCTAGTTTGTAAATGTGTTTCTGTTTAATGTTGTGTATGCTGTTTTACATCTATTATTAACACAAGTTGAAAAAAGGGAAAACCCTAATATATACTGTATATCTATTAAATCGGATGTAACTTGTATAGTAACTCTGTGACTATGCCCTATAAATGTATTTATACTGCTTTGAATTTCATTGTTTCAGTTGATCCCTTATCCATTGTTTCACATCAGTTTCCACACACACACAGAAACCAACAGACACACAGAGAAAATAACACCAGGGGTAAATAAAGGAAGGAAAATATGTCTTTGTATTTATTCATCATCTCTCTCAAACATGAGGATACGTGTTTGTGGTCACCTTCACACATTATGGCTGTAATATCAATGGAACATTCTGAGATCTTCTTCATGCATCTTTAGCTCGTCTGAAATGTCTTCTGCTTTAAAACAAGGAGAAACTGGCAGAATAAAGCAAGTTCTAAAATAAATAAAAATGATGGCACTGTCAACAGTTTTTAGCAACTTACTGCCAAAAATAAAGACCACTCTGAATTCTCTTCACGTGACCAAGTGCATTTTACATTCCACATACTCTTACATTATACTTCTTCCTCCTCACTGAAGAATCAAACATGTTAAATGTCTTAATATCATACTTTGCACAAATTACTTTTTTTATACTTTGACTAGAAATGCATTGTTTTTACGGTTGGCAGACTATTTCTTTCTCTTTTAAAATGTCAGCACACATTTGTGACACTGGAAAACTGTCATGGTGTGATCGGCAATGCTCTGAGCAAAGTCACCTAGCACTCTCTATTCTCATTTTCTGTTGTTTACTAATGTTTACTGCTTTAATGGATGTGAGCCTTAGTGCTACGGATAAATATTTGTTTTCTTGGTAGAGCGCTGCCTGTTGCCAGGTATGAGCAAATTCATTTCTGATTGGCCATGTTCTCTATGTGTTTATAAGCATCTTCTTGTTGAGTTAGTCCGTACTGAAGTCCGGTCGTGCTGCTAAAGGTCACCTGCTGATGGTCGATGCTACCAGAGGGAGCAGAGCTGCGGCTAGAGGGCTGGAGAGGCGCGATGCTGAACCACACTCCATGGCATTTTCCTGCAGAAGACACTCTTTTTTAATACATATGAATAATATCAGGGTTGATGTGCTTTGTCTTGGAAGAAAGGAGTGGATGCTGTGACGGCCTTAGACTCAGGTCCCTGGTTAGCCACTCCCCAAATCAGGAGAGATTGCTGACACCTGATTTGGGTTGACTGCTCAGCTACAAGTATGGGTGCCTGAGCAGTCAGTCTCTCTCTCCTCTTGGGTTGCTTGGCTCTACTGGACCTTGGTTTGTTTGTCCTTTCTTTATATACTGATGCATGTTCACACACTACACACATTACTGATTAGCTGACTTCATAGTTAATTTAGTTTCTTTAAATAAATGCACTTCAATTGGATGAATCATGTGTGGTCTCCTTCCTTTGGCCGTCCTTGAGCCAGGGCGTGACATGGGGGCTCGTCTAAAGTCAAATTTTGACATACATTTTGTTGGTATGAAATTTCTGTGCTAATTTAGGTTGGAGTATCACACATGGATGTAGTTGTTTTGGAGAGCTTTATTATAATCTAGTTTGGGACAGTTTTCTTTGAGGTAAATATGCTAAATGTTTGGTGTGGCATGTGACTGGTGTTCTCCTCTGTGAGGCCAAGCAGCAGGTTCTAATAGGGAGTCTGTTGTCGGGGGTTGGGTTTAGTGTGACAGAGAAAGTGGCTAGAGCAGTTGTCTCGGGATCACGTCCATGGTTTCTTGTGGGGTCGCTGTGTATACAGTTGCCTTCCAGTACCACTGGGTTTCAGTGAATAAGTACCCGCCACAAGTATCTGTACAAAGACTAGGTACGAGTTTAGTCAGATAAGGGAAATACTCTAATTAGTTAGTTGAGCATGGGGAGTCACCAGTTGTTGTTGCCACTAGTTGCATAGTGTAAATGTTTGGTGTATGTTACCTCAATTTGGTTATCTAGGTTGCTAGATTTTTGTGGTTTGATATGGCTAACATTGTGGAAGATTATGTTCAGTGTCCCTCGGATGAGTTGTTGGAGCAATGTACAAAGGAGCAGTTGGTGAAGATTGCTCATTATTACTCTGTTGATTTTGATTCCAAGCAACCAAAGGAAAGCCTGAAAAGTGTTATAAAGGCTCATTTGCTAGCCTGTGCGGTACTGATGGACAGGGGAGGTAAGAGCATTGTCACTAATTATGTGTCTGGCTTGACATTTGAACAACAGAAATAATTGTTGGTTTTGAGGTTAGAACAAATGAAACTGGATTTGGAACTGCAAAACATGTGGCAATGTCAATTGGGCTAGAAGGTCAGAGTGCAACATTTGTAACACACGGAAGTATGTGAAAGAGAGCTACAGTAACCTCTTTGGGTAAGATGGGGCAGGCAAGGGGAGCTTCGTCCCATTCTTCTTGAAGTTTTGGCCGTACAGGCATTCCCTGTTTCGTCCACTAAGCTTTTTCTGGGGTTAGGCTGTAATGATTGCGGGTTTTGTGCAAATTTCGGTAGTCACCTCATGTACTTTTTGTCATAGTTCCTTCTTTGCCTAGTATCACTTTTGATAGGCTTATAATGCAGTTTTTTGTGTGCTCTGAGACGTGTTACTCGGATTTATGAATTGGAAGAAAATGTTGTGTCTAATGTTCTTGTTTTGTTTCAGGATCTGAGGTGCTACCTCATTCTTAAGGGGGGAGGTGTGACGGCCCCTAGGCCTTAGACTCAGGTCCCTGGTTAGCCACTCCCCAAATCAGGAGAGATTGCTGACACCTGATTTGGGTTGACTGCTCAGCTACAAGTATGGGTGCCTGAGCAGTCAGTCTCTCTCCTCTTGGGTTGCTTGGCTCTACTGGACCTTGGTTTGTTTGTTCTTTCTTTATATACTGATGCATGTTCACACACCCACACACTACACACATTACTGATTAACTGACTTCATAGTTAATTTAGTTTCTTTAAATAAATGCACTTCAATTGGATGAATCATGTGTGGTCTCCTTCCTTTGTCCGTCCTTGAGCCAGGGCGTGACAATGCTAATAGATATAAACTGAAGTTAATGAACGAGTCGTCTTATTAGTGCGAATGCTGTTTACAGCATTCCAATAGTTCTTCAAATCTTTATTCTTCCCCTTATTTCAGCCAATAATTTGGCTCTCCATAACTTCAGCTTATTTTAAGCTACAGAAACCATTCAAATATTAAACTATTCATCCTGTTCAGGAATCGATGGGAAACCTTCAACTTTTTCAAAATATTTTATACTTTTTGAAATATTCAGCTTTTTAAACTCTTTTTTTAACATTGAAGTCAATGGGAGATGCCTTAAAATCCTGTTTTCCTACACTTTGCGCCAAATGCTTCTCCTTCCACATAATTTCAGCCAGACACTTCATTCCAACTTTCAAATGATCACAATACCTTCAACTATAAAACTTGTATAAAAGAGTTTTGATATATTTTCAACTTTTTGAGATATTAAATTTAGTTTGGAGCTTAGCAGAGAGGCCTTTTTCAGATTTTAACATTACAGTGGATGGAGCAGCTCGTTAACTCTAGAGTGCTTTGATCTCAAAACAGAGTGGAGCAGTGCTTAAAATTCTCCCCCAAAAATATTTTAAACTTGCCATAATTCCCAAACCCTACACTCCTCAGACATATTTTTTCATGAAAAACGTAGGAAAACCTCTCCTAGGTTGGAAAATAAAAAAATATTAAGAAAAAATATTAAATAAAATGCCTCTTCAAGGCAAGGCAAGGCAAGTTTATTTATATAGCACTTTTCAACACAAGGCAATTCAAAGTGCTTTACAAAAAATGAAAGAGATTAAGAAAATGGCATTTAAAATCAGTCATTAAAAAGAAAAACTAATAAAATAAACATTAAAAGAAAAAATACATGGATAAAAGTTACAGTGCTGTCAATTAAACATTAAAAGCAAAAGTACATGGATAAAAGTTACAGTGCAGTCTAAGATGTGAATAGTTCAATTAAAAGCAGCGACAAAAACAAAAGTCTTCAGCCTGGATTTAAAAGTAGTCAGAGTTGCAGCGGACCTGCAGGTTTCTGGGAGTTTGTTCCAGATATTTGGAGCATAATAACTGAACGCTGCTTTACCATGTTTAGTTCTGACTCTGGGGACAGAAAGCTGACCAGTCCCTGAAGACCTGAGAGATCTGGATGGTTCATAATTTAGCAGGAGGTCAGAAATGTATTTTGGGCCTAAACCATTCAGTGCTTTATAAACCAGCAGCAGTATTTTGAAATCTATTCTTTGACACACAGGAAGCCAGTGTAAAGACTTCAGAACTGGAGTGATGTGATCCACTTTCTTAGTGTTAGTGAGGACTCGAGCAGCAGCGTTCTGAATTAGCTGCAGCTTCCTAATAGATTTTTTAGTGAGACCTGTGAAGACACCATTGCAGTAGTCGAGTCTACTGAAGATAAAAGCATGGACAAGTTTTTCCAAATCCTGCTGTGACATTAGTCTTTTAATCCTAGATATATTCTTTAGGTGATAGTAGGCTGATTTAGTAACAGTTTTAATGTGACTGTTGAAACTCAGGTCAGAGTCCATGACTACACCTAGATTTCTGGCTTTATCTGTTGTTTTGAACATTGCAGACTGAAGCTCAGCGCTAACTTTTATACGTTCTGCCTTGGCTCCAAAAACCATTACCTCAGTTTTATCTTTGTTTAATTGGAGAAAGTTCTGACACATCCAGTCATTGATTTGTTCAATGCACTTACTCAGTGTTTGAATTGGAGCATAGTCTCCTGGTGAAATTGTTACGTAAATTTGTGTGTCATCTGCATAGCTATGGTAACTTATTGTGTTGTTCTTCATTATCTGAGCCAGTGGTAGCATGTAGATGTTAAAGAGAAGAGGCCCCAAGATGGAGCCTTGAGGAACCCCACATGTCATATTTGTCAACTCAGATGTGTATTTACCTATAGAAACAAAGTTGTTTCTGTCCTTTAAGTAGGATTCAAACCAATTCAGAACTGTTTCCGAAAGTCCCACCCAGTTTTCCAGTCGGTCTAGTAATATGGTCAACAGTGTCAAACGCAGCACTGAGATCTAATAATACTAACACTGAAGTTCTGCCACTGTCTGTGTTTAAGTGGATGTCATTAAAGACCTTTACAAGAGCAGTCTCAGTGCTGTGGTTTGGACGAAAGCCTGACTGGAACACATCAAAACAGTCATTTAAATGCAAGAAATTACTCAACTGTTGAAAAACAACTTTTTCAATGATTTTACCTAGAAATGGCAGGTTTGATATGGGCCTGTAATTGTTCATTACTGAAGCATCTAGATTATTCTTTTTTAAGAGCGGTTTAATGACTGCAGTTTTCAGGGCCTGTGGAAAAATACCTGAGTGAAGAGATTTGTTTACTATATGAAGTAGATCTGAGGCCATGCAAGGCAAAACATCTTTGAAAAATCCTGTTGGAATAATATCAAGGCA